CATGTTACGCCTCGGGAGTGAGAACGGGCTGGTTTTTCACACATCATGGATATGTGGTGTTTCTCACTGTAAAACCAAGGACACTACACTGGACTTTTATCTTCCTGACGAGTTTCATAGTTTACAAATTTAACTCAACATTTTATTCTTAAAACTACTAGTTGAGCCCATACCTAACAGCAAATGGCTTCTTCTGAGGTCATAGAGCAAAGGACTTCCGATCTACCAGTACTGGTTTGCCAACCATTCTATATCTTCGATATCTTCCCCTGTTGGTCATTATAACAAATGCAAGTATAACAAGTCCCTACCACAGAGGTTTAACCTTTTATACCTGGAAACTACATCCATTTTTTTATTTACAGTCTAAAGCATAGACAAAAAGCAGATATAGTTGGTTTTAGCAGTAAAACACAACTTTTCCTTTGGGTAGAAATTCTCAATTTTATGGTTTTGGTTTTCATTTTGTGAGTATTTGCTGAGTGTGTGCAGACAAGTCAGCATTTTCCATGCAAACTATGGGTAATGGCAGCAATCTTCTCTAGGAGACTTTTGGTGCTGCACCCTCTTCAAGACTAATTTCAACTAGCAACAGCCAGCAACCTCGAGCAACTACTCCCCCACAGGTTGGGGGATGTCCAATTTTCCCTGGCGCCCATAGGTTGCCAGGGGTTAGCTGAGCAGTCTCTAGGACTGTGTGATTAATATTAAGCTGGTTGATATGTTGCCATAATGGATGTACTCCATACTGGGGAGAGATCACATTCTCATTGTATCAGATGTCAAGGGCTTGGACCAGATAAAAGGAATTTAGTTGCTGTACAGCTAATGTAAAATATGAACAGGTGGAACAGAGATTTAAGGTAAGACTTTAAAAAATAAAAAGGACCTGAAACTTTCAGTCAGTTATGTTTTAGAGGCCAGTGGAAGATTTGGTGCCTCTTCTTGGTGCCAACAAAAAAAAAAAAAGCTGGGCAGACAGGCGAGACAGAGCTGAGTCACACAGTGCCTCACAAAAAATCAAGATGGTAAGAAATAAAAGCATGTAAAACAGTCTTCATATCCCTGATGTATTTTATTCTCAAGCTGTCCAGATATCCTGCTGTTTAGCTCAGAAGCTAAAATGGGTCAGTGTCTTATTCATAATAAATGATGAAGTTTTATTTTATTGTTAGTTAGAGAGACTACAGTAATCTCTGATCTACAAGACAGACTTTGTGTGACTTTGTTTATTATTTCCCGGCCCTCCAGTGAATTATTTTTAATCTATATGTAAACTCTGGTTTTTCATTAATTTATGGAAGGAAAGGGGGGGGGGACTAAGAAATGAATTTCACATAA